TTCTCACAGTAGACTTAGATTTGTTGGAGTTAAAAAAATTAAAGAGGATAGTGTTTAAATATGTGTGTTCATAAGTAAGTACAATGGCACCTAGTTTTTTGATAGTGTGCAAGTCAATAGATTCTTTAGTCGAGCATCGGTTAATTCAGCAATTTAGTACCAGTCTGTGTAGCTTTCTCACAGAACCACCAGGGCATGGCATAATGATTGGAGATTTTGCTACAGTTTGCTTTAATTACCCCAGTTACAGGCCGGCAGAGATCTGAAAATCGATCACCTTTTATGAAGTAAACTTTTGTAGGATTATCTTTCTCGTGGAATTTCAGGTTTATTACTCTTAGTTCAGGAGAGTGAAGCATCAACTTCTTAGCACGAATACACATATGGGGTGCTGAGCAAATGAACCACATGTTAGCAGTCAAATTCATGGACACTTTAGGAAAGGACGTTTGTGACACAAGCCAAAAGTTTTAAAAAGTATTTGCAACTTTTATGTTAGTACTTAGATCTAAGAAAATTTCTAAAGGGATAATTTGGTGCATACATACATTATTAATCTCCCATAAACCAGGGAGAAATGAAACAATATCAATATTGCAAAGTAGAGTAATTAAATATGGTAAAATTAAACATGAAGTATCAGGTCAGCATTTATGCCATCCTGCATGATGCAGCTTCTCAATAATAATAATGTTCACTAATGCCTCGGGTGAACCAAAGAAAAGATAAACTCTCTTCAAAATCTGCCTCTGGTCATCTGATAAGCCATGGCATGGCCACAGGTAGCCTGGCTTGGAAAGTCTTGGACTAAATGGATCATGTAGGGTGTCCTCTCATGTATTCCAAATCAAAGGAGTACATTGTACATCTTAAAGCATGTAAAACTAGGCCATGAAGAACTTTCCCACTCAGACGCCCAGTCCTCTTACATAACTGTCCTTCAGTCTAGGACAGTTCATTTGTCCTTTATCAGAAGTTTATCTGAGAACATGGCATGCTGTTTCTTCTTTCCTGGACTTCTGTAAATGGTAGCCTGTGCTCGTTTCCTGTGGATTTCTACTTTGTACTTTCAATTTTATATCACGAGGAGACTCTCTGTAAGGCCCATTTTCCCCTTTTCAAGATTATCTTTATTTGCCCTAAAATCTTTACAAAGCACTATTTGGAAAAATATCTGGAAGTGTAACAATAATCAAATAAAGAAAATAAAGGGCTATTTGGAAATCTGAGTTGTAGATTATAGAAACAGATCTATTTTAGAAGCACCAGAAGAAGTAGCATGAAAACCCCAAGAAAAATCTGAAGGCTGAAAGAGAAATTGAGACTTGAATGTTCTGCTTTGTTCTGGACTCTCATCTACGAAGGAGAGAACCCGTGGAAGAGAAAAAACATAGTTGAGGGCATTCCTCTGTGAGATCTGGGATACTGCTTGTTGAAGTTCAGGTAGCTGTAACGAGAGACATTATGAAAGGGCTGCAGACAGGTAGTTATGGGACTCTTTATAGGTCAAGGATGGTAATGAAAAATAACCACAGGCTAGACTGACGTATGACATGAACCAGAGTTTTGAAAGCATCCTTGGAACTGACTTGAATTCACCTGTCAATGAGAGGGAGAGCAAAGCTGAATGAATACATGGCTGCATCCCAGACTTCCTGTTAGTGTCAGGGAGACCTATCGCCCTATCCCTCCAGGTCTGTGGTTGGCATAGCACAGCAACAACAAAATACCAGTTGACTTCTGGGGTCCAAGGTGGCGAGGGAATTAGAATTGCAACAGAAAAAAAGAACAAAAGAAAAAGAAGAACAAATGGGAAATGTATTTATTAGCAGCCTTTCCTCGCTTCTGATACAGCCCACCGGCTTTCACTCTTCAGATGATTATTTAGAACACATTTGAGAATGATATAGCTGTATTACACACCATTTAATTAAAAATCACCTCTTTACTCAATGAAACAATGCCACTGTTGAATTGTAGCTGTAACATCTTCTTAGTGAGACATGATCAAATGGATAGTATTCAATTGCTGTCTGCTGAACCAAAAAGGAAAAAAAAATATGTAATTCGAGGGAAAGAGGGAACACATAGAATTATTGCAAGATGAGAAATGAGGAGAGGTGGGGGTTTCTGGGAAAGGGAAAGAGTGGGGAAGAAGATTCGGGCTTTCCAGTATACTTGAGTACTCTATGGAAATCCTTCCTTGCTCCAGCTTCAGGTCTGAAGTTGGGCTAGTTTTTCTCACTTTGCCCTTGCTAGTCTATGCTTTCTGCTAAGAGCAGTAGCTTTCACTGAGCAAAGCTGATGTATAATGAACTTCTGATATTTAATGTATATAATTAGATGAATTTAGGCATATGGATGTACAAGGTAGAAAACCATGGCGACAAAGTGATACCACACTGATTATTTCCCCCTTTCCTTCTGACCACCTGTAATCTCTTCTCTCCATTTTCTTGTGCTTTTGTTTATCCTACGGAACACGTGTTGGTCAACTTTCACATTGATTTCAAGAATTTTGAATAAGTCAAACGGTACCATATATCATCCATTTTGCCTTATTTCCCACATAATAATTATTTTTAGGACCATTATGCCACAGAATGCACTCTCAGATCCTTTTATCTGTGATGCGAGATGTAAGACAGAGGTAATGCTTTGCATGTCCAATTGTTCTGGTAAAGGCTGTTGGGAGAGCAGTCCTTTACAACTGAAATATCTCAGCATGTTTGTCTTTCCCAAAGATATTATGGGCTCTAATAAAGTTTTTCCTCTGCACTTTCATATGAATAAGAAAAGGTCGACAGTTTCTATGAAAAAAAATCTGCTGGAATTTTATCTTGGAGACTGAATAATTTACAGATTTATTTAGAAAAACTTACTATCTTAACTATTTTCTTATTCATGAACACAGTAAGTATCTTTAGTTTATGTTAGGAAAGCTTTATTAGTTTTCTTTTTTCATAAATTTCATTATAAATAGCTCAAATATGATTTGAATGTTACTATGAATAGGTTTATTTTTTCCATGAACTTAATGATCATCTAATTTTATTTTAATATATAGAAGTGCAATGATTTCGAGAATTCATCTTATATTTGGCAAACTTTCAAAAGCCACTTCTCAGTTTTAGGATTTTTTTTCCAAAAAAGTTTTGTGCACACACATACACATACACACACACACACACACACACACACACACACACACACATTTCATGTCACCTGCAGATACAGTGAATTTTATGATGTTCATCCTGAACTAAGTGACTTCAGAATGACTTTTCTTGCTTGATTATATTGGCCGTCATTTCCAGTAGAATTGAACCTAGGTGCCGAGAGTGGTCTTCCTTGTCTGGTTCTCCTCCTGCTCTTAGGGAGAAGGCTTATATTCAATCAGAGTTAGCTTGACTGTTCCCTACAGGCCAACAGTGTCTGTTGGGTAGTGTAAAATCAGAAATAGAAACATATGTGTCTTCTACACCATGTGCGTTTATCTCCATCACTTCACTTCTGCTTTCAAACTGCACACATTTAATTCCAACACACTTACTTAAAAACTAGTTTCTTTTTTCTTGAAAGGAAACTACTATCACTTGCAACAATTGTAAGGCAGCTTTAGGATCTAATACAAAGGGAAAATATATTACTGAATTTTAGTGGCTACTTTAATGTGGAGGCTTCTTGCAGGCCCCTTATGAGACATCTAAATGCCAATCTAAGCATTTCTCTTTATGTAACCAAGTCTTCAAATGAATAGAAAAGTGGATGTCCTGTTATTATTCATATTACTATGTTACAAGTAACAATACAAACCCATCTTTCATATATTCGTTATTACTTCCACAACTGAGAATCACTAGATCTTCTATGGATTTTAAAATATCTGGTTATCACCCATGCCAGAGGGCTCAGGTAGTTCTAGGCATTGGTTGTAGGTCCCCATCACTAAGATTCACTACAAAAGAACCAGAATACTTGGGTTGGGATAACCATATGTTTTTAAGTTGCCAAGGTCATTCTGATGCTTAGGAAGGGTAGTATGTCTCTGAGAGAAGATGTTTGTATGAAAGGAGGAGATGGAGGTGATAGCGAAGATTTGGGGTGGGCAGGCAGGCTTCATCCAGGTTGTCCAACCTGGAAATATCATGAACTAATTAAGATATCATGACGATTTTCTGTTTTTAGGGTTAGAATATGTGCGCCTGTTAAAGCAGTTGGATGTTTTCACAAGGACCTGGCAGAGTGCGGACTCTTCCTTTCAATTACTGCACTCATGAATTTTTCTGCTTCAAACTCACCTTTGGTTAGAAGCAATATGATCTCCTATTAACAATTAAAACCTTTAAATGTATGGTTCAAGAGTGCATTTTGACAGCATAAAGATTCATCTTCATGGCCTTCTCCAGTATTTCATAAAATATGAAGTATTTGTTGAGGGAGCTTTAATATAATTGCTATTCATAAATAGTTCCAGAGAAGAGATTCACAGTGACCTTGACGGCAAGTAATCCAAGCACATTCCCATCTACGATCCACGTGCGCACATGTAAATAAACAGGAAGCATGTGAAGCTGTGTACTTGGGATTGGTTCTCCTATTTATACACTTTGCAAGCCGTCTCAGGAGTTGTTTAAATAACTTTCCTATGAGCAGCGGTCACAGTCTTCCAAGCTGTGTTGTGTCTCTTTGCCACACTGGTCTCTTGACTTCATCTAGAAAAGAGAAAGAAGGAAGAGAAGAAAAAAAAAAACCCACAGATCTTCCAACTCACTTTGTGGAAACACGGAGCTTGGGAAAGACCGTCAAATCTTGTTTAAATTAGGGCAGTAAAGAGAAGATAGTGGGGGAGAGTACGTTATAAGCCACTACTTGAGGAACTGATGGGGTTAGGCCTTGCTGGTGAGAGGTTTCTTTTTCCACAATGGGCCCTTCAGCCCCATAGGGACAGTTTCTAATCTCTCCCGTAGGCCACCTCCCAGAAAGTCTCCACTCTCCGCCCTTGGCCCTCCTCCCGGCCTTCTCCCTTGGCCAGCCAACAGGGTGGGCGGGGTGGCCTCTCCAGCCTGGCCTTCCTGGGCTCCGGAGTCTGGCAGAGCTCAGGACAACTACCCCAGCGTCTGGACTCCAAGGCTCACTCACTGGCTGCCTGCGCTGTCAGGTTCTGGAGCTCCTGGACGCAGCGGTTTACTGCTCTGGGCTAGAAGAGTAAACTCGTTGGTGTGCGGAGCTGGACAGCGGGACCTAGGAGGGTTCACAGTCTGCAGTCCCACGGGTAGCTCTGGACAGCGCCCTTGCCGGTCGCTACTCCTCAGGGGAGCCTTCTCAGAATGGAGCATTTTCCTTCAGGCCGTAGGGACCGCAGCAGCAGCTGCAGACCCCACCTGGCCCCGGGGATGCGGGCTGCTCCATCCGCATCGCCAGCGCGGCCGGGGCCGTCGGGGATCCCGGTGTCCGCGGCTTTTCTGCGGCCACCTGGCCTGTTCCTGCGATCGGCCACCAGCGCGGGTCGCGGAGGATGCGCTCCGGGCCCGGGGCTGGATAGGGCGCTGGGGACCGTGGGCTGCGGCTACCCGCGGACCCCCAAGTGCGCCCGCTGTCGCAATCATGGCGTGGTGTCGGCGCTCAAGGGCCACAAGCGCTTCTGCCGCTGGCGGGACTGCGCGTGTGCCAAGTGCACTTTGATCGCAGAGCGCCAGCGCGTCATGGCCGCGCAGGTGGCGCTGCGCAGGCAGCAGGCGCAGGAGGAGAGCGAGGCTCGTGGTCTGCACCGGCTCCTGTACCCGGGGCCGTCGGGGTCCGGGGCTCTGGCGTCGGGGGGCGGCGGCAGGAACGAGAGTCCCCAGGCCACGCGCAGGCCTGAGGCTACGGCTGTGTTGGGAGCGGGTGCTTCAAGGCATCCCAGCAGCCGGGCGGTCCCGGCTTTCGAGGTTTTCCAGCAAGACTATGCCGAGGGAAAGCAGGGTGAGTCCTGTTTGGTTTGCTTCTCGTGGGAGAAAATGACGGGTCTGGAAGGATGCTTTGAAATGAGCAGCAGTTCCCTAAAGGTGGGCAGAAAGTTGTTTAAAATAAGCGATGAAGTTCAGGGATGCGGATCTACAATCCACAGGGCAGCTAGGCATAGGTACCCAGCTTTCACAAAACCAAAGAGCTGTTTGTCCCCCTTTGATAGAGAGAAAGAGAATGAAAGAGTGAAATGTGGGCGATCACAGCCGCAGGCTCGCCCTGGGAATGGATTTAGGCGCAGTCTGCTTCGACTTTGTATGGGCAGAACTTAAGCGGGTATTGAGAGAAAACTTTAGCGAGTGTGCTAAAGTTTCCATTGGTAGAAACCACTGTGAGTCTTCTGCTCTTGCACGGTAAACCGTTGACTGTGGTTGTGAAGTTCTTTGCTTTTGGGACAAAGTTTTGCCACCAGCTGAACTTAGAAACTGAAATTGCTAACCCTCATTTTAATTCTTTAAGTACAATTCCCAAAGGAGTGGAAAGTTTTAGGGACTGCAGTTTAGTTTCCATTGGAAATAAGTTTAAGCCTTCCAGATAGCAAAACCATTGGCAGGAATGTAAATTTACAGCCGGGGAGATCTCTGAGGTTGTAGTATTGCTGTGTACTTTCTGACAGCAAAGTTAAGGTCTGGATCTGTGCATAAAAGGACCCCGAGTTAACTTTTCTTGTAATGTTAATGTCATTATGTTTCCATGAATTTCACAACCCCCAACAAGGCCGATGAGCAGGAAACATCTCGCCTTAATCTTTAATCATTTTGTTAAAGATTCAAACAAGTTGTATCACACGAAGTTACGAGATAACTTGGTGGTAAGTTATAAATTAGAAAGTTTCTTTGGTTGTGCAAATTACAGATCTTAGCAAAACAGGGTGTACTTTTGAAAGAAGATCGTCTCTGCGTCAAAACTTAACGTCCACTTACGTCAGCTTTGGACACATGCGGTGGTTTATTTCAATAGACCAATAGACCTTGAGTGTTTCTCATGGACAGTCGAGGGAGACGGAGGAGAAACACTAAGAGAAGCAAATGCTGGCCTTCCTTCAGCTAGGCTGGTAATGAGATTTGGCTGGCGGTATGGATTTATGTAAATCTTTGGTATTAAAGAGTTCATCTTACAGGCCTAATGATTTTATTAGATTATTCTGCCACGAATGACTCACCTACAAAAAAAAAAGTCTGTATTTCAAAGGCTTTTTCATTGGCTTTCTAAATGGAGTACCCCCTCCTACACAACATGCACAAACTATGGTAAGACATTGTATTGAACTTATTCATTCGCAAAACAAAGACCTACAGTGATTTAGAGGTGAATAGCCTTTCCCCATGTAAGAGAACCCTTATGTTCAAAAGAAGGAAGGCTGTCGGTATCTACAACTCCAACAACACATAAACTAAATCTCCAGGAGTACAGAGGACAGAGATGAAGGGCGTGATACCAAGCATTTAAAAGAAACCTTATTTTCCGAATAGTCGCATACAGGCAGTATTTCTTGCCTTTCCCCACTTTGTGTCTGTTTTGAGGCAGGCATTTCACATTATATCTCAGGATGATTCGGAACTAAGTAGGCCAGGCTGCCCTCAAGCTCTTGGCCATCTTCTTGCCTCGGACTCCTGAGTACTGGGGTCACAGGTGGGATCCCTCACGCACAGCTTGCAGCCAGTATTTCTTTACAGGTATTTGTCCCGAGGTTCAACTTCAAAGAAAAAAACCTATTTTTAGAAAACATGGCAGAAATGTAATTTTGATACTTCAGGTGTTTCAGGGTCAATACTCAATGAATAAGAGAACAATGGGAATTTATTTCTGTGTGACAAATGCCATTTGACGAGTTTTTATATTATCTAAAGTTGAAAATAGCAGTGTACAAGCTTACAAAATTCACAACTCTCCTTTAGTCTAATATTTGGAGTATGGCCAGCATACTGACAGTTATGGGGCTGAATTGGTCGTGATTTACATTTTACATGGACAATAGAATTTTATGGACAGTGTTTAGGACTTTCTACAAGGTGCAGGGAAACAACAAAGAATATTACAGATTGCCATTTCTCATGCTATCATTAAAAATGGCATAGAGACGGAGAGTTGGGGAGAAGTACTCCTGAAAGTCTTGGACAGTTTTACCTTTTCAGAGTTAGGGTGTGCAAATGACAAGAGGAGAGGAAAAGGCAGATAGCATTATTTTGAATATGTATGTGTGTGTGTGTGTGTGTGTAGATTGTTATTACTTTCCTGGTATTAGCTTGCCAGTATAGAACTGAAATATTCTTGTTTTATTGTCATACTCAAAATGTTGACATTGAAAAAAAATCAGAGTTTTTAATAAAATGATTTTTAATTGCTCTTAATAATGCAATGGGGGTTGTAATAAGTACTAAATGTCTAATACATTGTTTCTACAAGGTCCATGCAGATTGAGGTCATGAAGTTTGAGGCTTTCTATTAGGAGCAATTGGTTTAAAAATCTGTTCTTAACAGTTTGTGTAGACTGAAATAGAAAATTAATCATTTACCAAGAGTTATGAAAAAATACCATGTATCATTATTATTATCTCTCCCATAAAACGAAGTACTTAAGTCACATGCAATTTGAGATGGACGCCCCAGGAACATCACTGCTTTAGTTTGAAATATTTTACAGTTAGGTCACCCTGAAGACACCTGGTCTTGTCTGAATTGACACCAGCAGTTTAGTTCCCCACATTGCTTAGGCTACTTAATTAGAATTAGAATTGTCAATGTTAAAATCATTCATTGAAACTTAGTACTAGGACTCATCTAAAGCTACCTGGTTAACTTAGTTTTTTTTTTTTTTTAATACAGAGTCTTTGTGGGGGAGGTAAGAGCATCACTTAAGCAAAAGTAAAACTTGAACATTTTGGGAAATTTCTAATTCCAAGATGGTGTCACATCGACACATTTGGGTAACAACAAACTCTCCTCTTTTGATCCCTAAATGTTAAGGGATTTTGGTACTTATTGAATAACCTTGAACAATCTTGAAATGCTTGAGAAGCAGCATTCTCTTCTGTTCCAGCACATGTTAGTTAGTTCTGATTTATCTTTAAAATGTGGCTTTCGTGATAATGTTTGTGGGTGAGTAAAATCGCTATATATATATATATATATATATTTATATCTCTCTATATATATATTTTAAGAGTGAGTGAACTATTTCATCCTTCACCGTCTTTGAGCGGCAAATTTTTCATCTGTCTCATTATTTTTGTTTTTGTTTTTTCTTCTTCTGCAGAACCAAAAGAGAAGAACTGCGAGTCATGCCAGAGTAGACATGAAGAACTGGTCTCCAACACCCATCACCATACTCTGGGATCTTCTCCTAATGGTAAGAATACCACGCAGAAAAGGGGCTTCCTGTCATCTATTTCAGAACACCCAGACAAACCCAATATAATCCTGTCTCCTTGCCCCACGGAGCAATCAGGAGGAGAAGACAGTCCCAGGTCCTTCTCTTCCTCTGACCTGGAATCAGGGAATGAAAGCGAATGGGCCAGAGACCTCATCGCGACCAGAGCCAGCCTTTCCAAGGTGACCTCAAGACCACGCGACCCTCTCGGAATTCTCACCAGAATTTTTCCAGGTTACAGGCGTAGCCGCCTAGAAGGCATCCTACAGTTCTGCAAGGGAGATGTCGTCCAAGCTATCGAACAGATCTTAAATGGGAAAGAACATAAACCAGACTGCAGGGACCCAGCACACGCAGACTTGGATAACACAGCCTTCCAGAGAGCTTCGGATTTTGCTCTCGCTGGCATTGACTTTGGGACTCTAAGTAATAAATCAGCTCTCTCTCCTCTTGAAGCCGCATCTGCTGCTTATGGAGGAGATTCAAGTCTCTACAGTTTCAATCCTAGACTAGCTTTCAGCCCACTGCGCCTGGCATATTCTCCAGGAAGAGCGCTGTCTGGGTTTGTGTCACCATACCTAACGCCTGGACTGGTTCCAGCGTTGCCTTTTCGGCCAGCTTTGGATTATGCCTTTCCAGGGATGATTAGGGAGCCTTCCCACCTTCAAGGCAAGCACTTAGTAACTGGTGGTAGACTGTATTTCAGGCCCAATCAGGAACATCTGTAACATATCAACTCTACCATTCTGTGGTGTTTCTGGAATCGTAACACCCCCCCAAACTATTAACGTTCTTCAATGAGTATATGTGTGGCTTACCAGCTTTAAATGCTATTTTCAAGCAATGTGTAGACTTTAGACTTGAAGACTTCTTTAGCATTTATTAAATCAAAGAATCATTTGAACATTATATGTGCCTTGAATAAACATATTTCAGGAAATAATTTTATTGTAAACTAATGAATTTCCTTCATAAATTATCGTTCCTAATAAAGCCATACCTGCTTTTATTTTAGTGTAGGGTTAGACTTATAGTTGCAAAGATTTGTAAAAAGCAATTCATTTGGTAGAAAAGGAGCCAAGAGGGGTCATTAAAAACTGAGTTTAGTTCTAACTATGTGGTTATTATTCTAAAACAACTCCCTCTCCCTCTCCATGTCTTCCTCCTCCTCCTCCCCCATCCCACCACAGATGACCCGAAATTATTCCAAGTATTTAAAACTATTTTATTTGCATATAAATGATCAGGAGTAAGGAAACACAATAAATTTGAATATATTATTTTTGAAATGTCTGACTTTTCACTCTCTAGCTACTGTTTGTAAAAAGGAAAATGTTTTCGAACAATTCTCTTCAAAGTTAACATTATAAATACACAAAGTACTCTTGGGTTATAAAAAACAAGAGCCTGCCCTCTTCTGGCCACTATCACAAACGGCAACTCAGTTCTGAGGAAATTAGAAACACCTGGCTGCTAACACGTTTACTATTTTGGGTCACTTTGCACTCAATTTTCATGGTGTGAAATAGGTTTCTGTTGAAGATGCTTTTAATTTTTGAGTACCTTATGTTTGTATCTAGGGACAATAGTCCTTTTGATTTGTTTTAGATAATGGTATGTTACCCATTCTCAAAGGTAAAGGTAATTTTATTTACTATTTTTTTAATAAGAAAATTGAAATATCTGCTCAGACAAATATCTACTAATTTTGTATAAAGTGTATTTAATGCATTGAGGAGAGACAACATTTCCCAAGGGCAGTAACTGCCTTTAACATTTAGAGGTCTTGCGGAGTCTTTAGACATACATCTCCCTCTTCACCTAGAGCTTTGGAAAGCCAGCCAATAAGCTGCTCCTTTCAGTCACTGGGAAGCCCCCGGAAAACTGCTCACAAAACCCCTGTGCAAAGTTTTCCTTGTGTGCCATTGTTTTTAAAAGGACAAGGGCTGCATTGTTATTGTGAGGAGGAGTGAAAACCCAGATGTGGTGGGAATTGGAGATATCTCAATCTGAGCAGCAAGAATCACTAGAAATGTCTTTACTTATATTTATGTTTCAGTGTCTTTCCCATGGAGCTGATAAGTTTTCAGAGTATATTTTACCTACAGATATCATAACGCACTACTGGAGAGTCTCTGGTGCTAATTTAGAATGCAGATTTGTCTAATGATTTGCATTAGTTTTAATGGTACAGGGTGTGAGCAAAAGTCCTGGAAAATTTAGAGGGATGCAACCTCATTTTTTTTTTTTTGGATACAAAACAATATCAAGAAACCTTTCAGACTCAGAGTCTAAATCACTCAATTCTTGGAAACTAATTGCTATGCAGTCAACACACTTTGAAGGAAGAATGATTTTACATGGTGGATCTTTCAACCAAATAATTCTACAAAATGGCCTATTGACTGACATACAATTTTGAGTAGAGTTTCGTGAGGTTCTGTGTCTCCTAAATATTATTTTGATCAGGATTCTTGGTGACCCTTGAGGTGTTTTTATTGCATGAATCTATGTATTGCCTTCTATTTTTGAGATATACTAGATCCTATAGATCAATTACAGAGTATGATGTAAAGAAAGTTACAGTAAATGGCAAAGAACTGGATTCTTCATAAAGATAACATAGTAATAAGTACATATTAATTTAAGAATACAAACATGAAGTTAATTTCCATGATGCTTCATATAGTAAATACCCTTAAAAAGACTCTTAAGAGATAAATGACTTTATAAAACATGCAATTCTTTCAATTTCTATCTAGACAGTGAATAAACTGAAGCTCAGTTTTGGTACTACCAATAGCAAAGGCAATAGTATGAGTCACTAGGAGGGGTTTTCTACTTCAGAATGTAGGGTGTGAGGAAGGATTCAAGTCTGCTATGTTCCTTCACAGCTTTGTGTGGTGTTTGAAACAAAATAGTACTTTTTCATTTACTTAAATAAAAGTATAAGATTAGGAATTGAGTCATCTCCTTTATTAAGCATGTACTTTGTATCATGCACTGAGCTAGGTGTGAGGGAGATATATGATTAAGAGATTAGAGACAGCCTCAAGTTTCTCATAGTCTGTTTTCCCACATGTATTAAGAACAGTCAACCAATCAGCTAAGGTTGGCACCATTTGGCAATGTTGGTATGTCAATGAGTTCTTTATAATCCTGACATTTATGCCTATAAGATACCGTGGCACCTAACCAACTAGTCAGAGGTTAGGAAAATGATGGTTGCACACCGTAGATCCAAACTGAACTGTCTCTGCTCCATGTGGTGTAGAAGACAGAGGTGTTGATGATTCTATGGAAAGAATTCAGAAGGACAAAAGGAGGAGCTTTTTCACAGTTAGTGATCACCTAATGTGGCATAATGTTTCCATTGAGATTACTACATAGAAAATATCAGAGGCCGAGTTGGTGGGGTTTTTCCTTACTGCCTCAGTATTGGGATGAAATCATTTGCCAGCTATTCAGAAACATGGGAACGATTTGTTAAAAAAAATGAATGAACAAGTTCCAATTCCAAGACCACAATAATGAAAGTGGGCAGGCATTATTTGTCAATAAAATAAAACACTGTTCATGACAAATATTTCTGTGTGAAAACCTCCTCACAGAATGTGAAAAAGTAAGAGGCAGGACACGGTGTGGTTAACAAGGGATTCAGTGTGGAGTTAATGTGAGACACACATGGTCCAGAAATAAAAGGACTCAGGTCATAGGAGAGCACTGGAGATGGATTGTTTATGATGTACGCAGCCATATGTCTTCCTAAAAGGATTGTTTGCTTTACTGATGAGATGAGTATTGGGATGGGCAAGTTACTTAGACTCTGGGCACCTGCTGCTTCTCAGTAAAACAAGGATAATAATATCTAACCTGCGCGATTCATGGAGATGAGAAGGAGCCTGAATAGACGGCAGAGAACAGTGATGCTTATATCCTGGTATTAAGTAAACAACTCTCACTGTTACTGCTTTGTATTAAGATATTATCTTTGCCCCCTGGTGGCAGTCGCTCAACACAGAGCACTGTAATTGCATTTAATCCACTTAGTGAACGTAGAACCAAAGAGCACTTATTACCTGTGAATATCCAGGCTTAGTTCCAGGCTTCCTGTTTGGTTTACATGCCATGGTGAGCCACACTTTCATAACATGCAATTGTGTGTGTGTGTGCTTAGGAATCTTTTAAGGGCTTAAGGAAGTGACCAACACAACTGCAGCTCTGTGTTTGTACTAGCTTTAATTGATCAAGATTTGGTTAGGAAGAGAAAGCATTCTCCCAGCACAAAGGAGAATCTTGGAAATAAACATCTTGTTGGAGGAAGCTGGCAAATCTGAGAATGACTCACTGATTGGCTAGAGTATGGTGTGGATGGACAAGTGGGAACTTTCAGAAAGTTTAGGAAGTCTAGTATGTCTCCCCTTGACAGGGCTTTCAAGTGGGTGTGGTAGAAAAGTCTATGTGGAACCAGAGACTGAGCAGCTGTGAGCTCTCTGGGTCAGTGAAGTTAGCCGAAGGAAAGCAACATGGAGTCAGGGAAAATGAAGGCAATCTAGAAACACATGTGGATACCCAAACTTGATGACTCTTGTTTTTCCTATCCCTGACAAATCTCGCCCATAATTCTATAGACGGCTGGGTCAGTTTTCACTCTGAATAAAATGGAAAAGGGGGTTCTGGGAAATGTAGTACCTCATTTAACTGAACTTAGCACCGCCCAGTCTAGTGTAGTCCTGACCAACACAGTTTTCATAATTAGTCATTCCAATTAATGGCTGCAAACAAAACAACTTGCACACAAAGCTGAGGTAACGACACTCTTGATGACAAAATATCTTGTTGGAGGAAACTGGCAAATCTGAGAATTCTCTTCTCTCCCAAAGTGGATACACCTTATCCACCTTCGGGAGGTGCTCATTTCTCTTTCATCTAGCCACATCTGCATTTAAATATCTTATACAACGAACCTGGAGATACAGTTAGCCAATATTATTACTGTTTTTGTTAGAATAGGTACTGTACAAGAGGAAATTGCTATACAAGGATGATTCCTGATTACAATGGTTCTTATACTGCTCCAGCTTCAGGACTGGCCCAACATAGGAGGCATCCAGTGGCAGATGTGGAGTTTTGATTCTTAATCTTTTCCCCAGGCTAGTGATATGTTAATTTCTTGAGATACTTGGTGATGACAGCTAGTTGTGGCTCCCAAGTCTGCCTCAAATGCTCTATGCCAAGCAAGCAGTACTCAACAGTGCACAGTTTTGCTAAACTATTAGGTTTAGTATTTTAAGTGTCAGATATATATTAGATTTATGATATTTTCAACATATGTTGGGTTTGTTGTGATATAGTTTCATTGTAAGTCAAAGAACATCAGTACACACACACACACACACACACACACACACGTACACACATGGATTTGCACCTATACAAGCTAACAGGCACACACACAGTTTCTTTAATGTAAGAAAGTAACAAGCACTGCTGTCTGCTATAAACTGAACTATAACTGCTCATGGGGTAATAGATTACACCTATAACTTCTTTCATTTCTTTCTTTGTTTCCTGCTGGTGCCATAACAGTGGTTGCTTTCTATAGCAAGTGACCCAAATCCTCATTTCTGAAGAGTCTGTACAACTGCCAGTTTCACCTACATAAAATTTTTGCGACTCTCCACTAACTTATATAACAAAATATTGGAAGAGCAAGTAACTCTCTTGTGGACCTTGTTCATGTGGTTTCACTGCTGTTTGAAATGGTCTATGGTAGTCTCTAATTCCAGGAAAAAAACCGTATTTTCTTAAGGCACAATTTCTCTTTTAGGAAGTAATACCTAAAAACCAACAGAAGTTGGTTTTAATACCTAAAAGCCTAAAGTTGCAAAGAAAAGAAAAGTTTTGGGGAGCAATTTGAAAAACGTCATTTCCATGATTCTCAGACGCATGGATCTTGAGTTGAGAAAAAACATCTCTGTGTATTTACATGGATTTAGAGCCTATCGTACACATAGAAAGCTACTATTCCAGCCCTAAAGATGCTCTCACCAGCTGGAACCATAATAGAGCTTTCCAAAGGCCATTTCACAATTTTACTAGGCCAGCTGTTTCTGCATGAGGAGAACAGGACAGTTCAGTGAGATCCATGGGCATAAACCCAATATTTGATATAATATGAGTTTCTTTGTCACATGTGATGTTGTATATAATACTGTGATAGTGGTTTTTGTCAGAAATTTCAAAGAAAAGAAATGTAAAAGGCAAAACCATACAAGTAAAAGGTTCC